TCCACAAAACGACTTATGACGTAACCCGAGGACTGCCTGTAGTTAGTTGATTTACTACATTAGATTTCAGGAGTGTTGTCCAATGAATATTCAGTTCCCCGTGCTAGCTGTTCCAACAATGAATATTTGAGGGTTTATAATGGAAAGGGCCTAAGCTGGCGGTTCTCAACCTGTGGGTCGCGACCCCTTTGGCGGTTGAACGACCCTTTCATGGCGGTCCCCTAAGACCATCCTGCATATCAAATATTTACATTATGATTCATAACAGTAGCAACATTACAGTTATGAAGTAGCAACGAAAATAATTTTATGGTTGGGTCACAACATGAGGAACTGTATTGAAAGGGCCAGAAGGTTGAGAACCACTGGACTAAGCGGTGATAGGTATACAGCAGGTACTGAATACATACTATGGTTTTGTTATGCCCTCTCCTTGGTAGTAGGATTATTCTCTTCTGTGCAGATGAGTTCCAGAGGAAGAGCATGTGCCCAGGAAGGAGCTTAGCCTAGGAGCCAAACCTCACTCACCACCTGTTTTTGTAAATAAAGTTGTATCGGAATGCAGCCCTGCCAATCATTTACATATTGCCTCTGGCTGCTGTCTTACTAAAACAGTAGGTCCAGTAGTTGTGATAGTGAGCAAATGGCCAACAAAGCCTGAATGTTTACTCCCTGGCCCTTTACAGAGAAAATTTGCTGAGCCCGTTCCACACTCTAATGCTATGCTGTCCAGGGATGTAGCCATTAGCTGCAGGCAACAGTTGAGTGTTTGAGATGTGGCTGATGGAACTGACGTGTGTTATATGAGGAAAACACACACAAGACTTGGTAAAAAGAAAGAAAAAGGAATGTAAAAAGCTCATCAGTTTTTAAATATTGATGACATGTTGAAATAATATTTTGGATACTGAGTTGGGTAAAATATATTATTAAAATTAATTTTACCTGTTCCTTTTTACATTTTTAACATGACTATTAGAAAATTGAAAACGTGACTTGCATTTATAGCTCACATCATAGTTCTAGTGACCGTTCTGTTTAGAGTCTATAGAAAAAGGTAGAAAGAGGGAAGGTGGGGAGAGAAAATAATCTGTTGTATTTGCAAATGATTTTCAAAAGCAATAGAATCTTCTATTAATTTGGCTATTACTTCTCATAAAAAAGTAATACTTTAAAACAGTGGTTCTCAACCTTCCTAATGCTGCAACCCTTTCATACAGTTCCTCATGTTGTGGTGTCTCCCAATTTCATTGTTATAAATTGAACATAATTAAAGCATAGTGATTAATCACAAAAACAATATGTAATTATATATGTGTTTTCCGGTGGTCTTAGGCGACCCCTGTGAAAGGGTCATCCGACCCCCAAAGGGGTTGCGACCCACAGGTTGAGAACCGCTGCTTTATAATAATGGATTAGGTTGTCTATCGACAAGGTTTTAGTTGAGTTCTCTGAGAAGGAGACCCTGACTCAGAATTCAAATTGGGAGGGGACCTGGGCAGCTTCTGTCAGGGAGAAGGGGAGGGAAGAAGGCATGGTCATGAACAGGTTGTTGCTGTGGGCACCTGGGCTCCTCCCAGTGGAACTCTCTGGAAGATTTGACAGAACAGGACTCAAAGGAGTCCCTTCTGGCAGGTGAGGAACCTCAGATGTTCATCCAGCAACTGCCAGTAGTTGCTGGTTGAGGGCTGGTCCCAGGGGCATCAGCCTCCCCTTGTTCTCTCTCCAGCATCCCTGCCTGCCCTGCCTGGGGCCAGATAAAGGCCTAGAGCTGAAAGGAACAGTTGTTTGCTGCCAAGAGCCACCAGCCAGCTTGAGATCAGTGACTGTCTAAGGCAGTGATGGCGAACCTATGACACGCGTGTCAGAGGTGACATGCAAACTCATTTTTTTGGTTGATTTTTCTTTGTTAAGTGGCATTTAAATATATAAAATAAAGATAAAAAATATAAGACTTTGTCTTGCTATGGATGAAGATATCAAAAAATTTCTATATGTGGCACGGCACCAGAGTTAAGTTAGGGTTTTTCAAAATGCTGACACGCCGAGCTCAAAAGGTTCTCCATCACTGGCCTAAAGCATCAGGTTGGGCCCTATAGTGTCTGCTACTGACACCAAACTGAATGTTTTATCCATGTTGAAACCCATGATTTCAACAAACATTTGTATAGTCCCCTGGTGTGTATGTATTTATTTTCTCTGATCTTAACAATAGCACAGATAAGTAGGTTTATCATTATTCATGCATTATGGATGGGAAAACTCAGCCCAAGGGTCATTTGTCCAGGATAATTCAGCTGGGATGGTAACTCCAGTCTCCTCACTCCACATGGGTGGTCACTCATGCCTGACTCCTTGGATTTTTACAAAGCTCAGCTCCATAAGGAGATGTAAATATAGTGATGTTCTCAAGGTGAGAACAGGAACCTCAAACTATTGGTGGGGGTACTCTGTAGCACTCCTTAGATATCCATAGGGAAATACTTATATCCACTTAGTCCCAAGGCTCTTATGCCAAAATGTATTATCTCTCTTTTGCCAAAGCACAGTCACAATCAAGAGGTTATAGGACCTGCTGACCACCACACAGGATGTTAGTGATACAGCTAAATTCTAGAAAACTCCACAGAAGTCCCTATAGTGGAAGCTTATGAATGCATGGTTCACTGAGGACTGGATTTTGTTACCTTCCCATTACCCAGGCTCTCTTCAAAAGTGTTGTCAGTCCCTTTGGTATTTCTTGGAAACAGTCTCCCTCCCAGCTTCATTTCCCTTTATTATACTTCTAACTGACTCGGTAACTCTTTGCGGACTTCAGTAACACTTGTACTATTTGAATTTGAATAACCCCCAAGGATCTAGATAGGTCAATATGTTTAAACCACAGGCTTTCGTCTATATATTAGTTGATTAAAAACAGATTTTATACATGATGTATACTTAATCAAGGGAGGGGGAAGCAAGCAGATGTTTGTAAAACCGAAATGTGTTCGACTATATTTATTTGGCTCTCTTGCTGCCTAGCTTTAGAAAAGTCAGACCTGTGACAATTGAACTGTAAACAGTTAGATGATGTGTTTCCCTAGAAATTTCCTCCTCTGAAGGGTCAGCCAAAAAGAAAAGTAAAAATGATTCCTTAAGATTGACATACCAAAAGAAGGTGACAAATATACCATAAAATAGTCATATTTAAATAAAGGACATTGAATAATGGATTGCCTCAAAGTTATGCTCTAGTCTCTGACCATAAAGTGACTAGTGGTTGCAATTCATTTAATCCAAACAGAGGGAAAACTTTGGCTTTTGTTGTTGTTATTAGTAAGAGCTTTGAAAGCCAGTTTTTTATGCAAATATGAAATCATTCAGTTGCACCTAAATCACTGTGTCTTCAATTCATTCTTCAGTTTTTTGTTGTATCTCATCCTTTAACTGAGAAACGATAATTTTTTCCTCCCTTAAAATATTTATATTTGAGACACTTTGAGTATTTCAAAGCCAAAATTGAAGATTTTGCATTGGTCTTCCTGTCCAGGTAAAATATACACAAAACCTGCCGCTGGATTCTGAACACATGAGAATTATAGATAAAATACTTTAAATGGATTTTAAGAAAGAATAACCAAGCTTAAACAGAAGTGGAAAGTCTCCAAAAATCAGGAGGGAAAGGAAATGCAAAGTGGTGAAGGGAGGTTGGAGCTGGGCTGCTCAGAAGAAGTAGAGATGAGTTGGGGCAGCGAGGACCTGAGGGGAACATGGGGCAGTGTGTCCTGCACATGGCAGGTGCCGCCCTGTCCTCCTGGAGGCCACTCTAGGCTCAAAGGCTACCTCCCACCCTCTCTGGAATTAGAGCCAGACAGAATTCCCATGGGAGGAAGGTGAGAGACTGAGTCAAACCGGCATCTGTGACTCTATGGCACATCGGTATCTTGTGGGACTGCCCCCTCTGGGAAAACAACCTCAAGCCCTAACAACAGAGCGGGCATCGCACCTGGTTGGGCTGTGTCAATCCCCAAACCACAACACAGGGAACAAAATTCCCATCAGATGAGCGGTCAGACAAAAATTGCAAGACACAAGATAAAATCAGATTCATGGCAAATGTATGCAAACACAGGCAAAGAGGAATTGCCTCTTCTCAAAAGAGCTTAAGAATAAGTATGTTTAGTTCTCTTGAAATTATGGAGGGACTTGCTTCCTGGGAACATGAACAGAAGGTAATTCAACAAGAAGATGTGATAAAGAACCTACTGGAAATGAAAAATGTGGTCATTAAAATTGTTAAAAAGTGTTCATAGGATGAACACCAGATTAATAAGCATACCTTGTCCGGCTGGAGTGGCTTGGTTGGTTGGAGCATCGTCCCATACACCAAAAAGGTTGTGGGTTCAATCCAATAGTAGTTGATTTGATGTGGGGATATACTCTTTATATTATTGCCATTTCTGATTCAGATAAAGGAATAGAAATTCAATGATTTCCTTTCTCCCTAGTTCACAACCTAGAACAGCGGTTCTCAACCTGTGGGTCGCGACCCCTTTGGGGGTCAAACGACCCTTTCACAGGGGTCGCCTAAGACCATCCTGCATATCAGATATTTACATTACGATTCATAACAGTAGCAACATTACAGTTAGGAAGTAGCAACGAAAATAATTTTATGGTTGGGGGTCACCACAACATGAGGAGCTGTATAAAAGGGTCGCGGCATTAGGAAGGTTGAGAACCACTGACCTAGAAGTAACCTAAACTAATCATTCAGTTAATTATGTATGCCTCAGTTAATGCAAGACACAGGAACCAAAAGAATGAAATTTGACCATCTTTTAAGGGTTCTTTTAAACACACCTTTTCACAATCCAGTTTGAATCTATAAATACTTGAAACTGCATAGATCTCATTGAGGTTTCTGAAAAAATGTATCAGTTTTCCCTAGTAGGAGTGTTGTATAGTAAAATATTAAAAGTATGCAGAATAATATTCTTCCTCTCTTTTTTGAACAGCAAAACTTAGAGAGTAACCTCACCAACCTTATTAAGAGGAACACGGAACTGGAGACCCTTTTGGCTAAACTCATTCAAACCTGTCAACATGTTGAGGTGAGTAGCTCTGTGTAGTGTGCTCCATGTGAAAACTGCTAGGCCACGATTTCTATACCCTCAACCTTTCTATTTTTACAACTGGAATCTTCTTAAAATTAGATTTTTTTGCAGGAGCTAAATATATAAGATGGATGAAATTGGAAGGAGCTAGAACCTCAGAGACGCTCTTTCCTATGGGAAGTGATCAAAACTAACTGCTTTGTCCTGCCCCCCACTCCTATCACAGCATTCCTTGATCCAGCTTTATTTTACTTAGCGTTCCTAATATTGTAGATTTTAATCAACCTTACAAAGAACAGCCAAGAAAAAGCACTATTTAAAAGGCATTGTATTGGCTGCTGTAACAAATTACCACAAACTTGGATGGCGCAAAAAAACAGGCAGGCTGGAGGCCAGAAGTCTAAAAGCAAGGAGTTGGCTTGGCTGTGCCAGCTCCCTCCAAAGGCCCTAGGGGGGGATCCTTCCTGCCTCTTCCCACCTCCTAATGTTCTTGTGGCTGCAGCAGTCTAATCTCTACTTCTTTCATCAAATGGCCTTCACCTTGTGTGTCTCTGCGTCTGTGTCTAAATATCCTTTTTACAAGGACACCAATCACTGGATTAAGGACCACCCTACTCCAGTGTGAACTCATTTTAACTTGATTACATTTACAAAGACCCTGTTTCCAAATCTATATACATGAAAGCCTAAGCAACCCTTCGGCCGGTAGCTATGATGCACACTGACCACCAGGGGGCAGATGCTCAATGCACAGGCATGGAAACATGGAACAGACTGATGAATCTCAGAGGGAAGGGGGGTCCCTCAGCCTGGCCTGTGGGGATTGGGCCAAAACCGGCCCAGTGCATGGATTCGAGCACTGGCGGAGTCCCTCGGCCTGGCCTACGGGGACCGGGCCGAAACTGGCAGTCTGACATCCCCCAAGGAGTCTGGATTGGAGAGGGTGCAGGCCAGGCCAAGGGACCCCACCAGTGCATGAACCCATGCACCGGGCCTCTACTAAGGTCATAGTCACAGATACCAGGGGTTATGCCTTGGGCATATCTTTTGGGGGAACACAATTCAGAACACTCCAGGTATATATTAAATGCATGTTGGTTGTCAGATATGTTTCTGTGAAATTGACCATAGTTGCAGTGTGTTGGGATTAAGTAAGAGTGTGTAGGCAGCAGTGACAGCAGGGCAAGTTGCAGAACCCAGATCTTTTTTTAAAATATATTTTTGTTGATTTCAGAGAGGAAGGGGAGGGAGAGATAGAAATATCAATGATGAGAGAGAATCGTTGATTGGCTGCCTCCTGCACGCCCCCTACTGGGGATTGAGCCTGCAGCCCAGGCATGTTCCCTTGACCAGAATCGAACCCAGGACCCTTCAGTCTGCAGGCCAACGCTCTGTCCACTGAGCCAAACAGCCTAGGGCCAGAACCCAGATCTTTCTGACCCTCTGCTTAGATGGATTCGCTTTTGGTAATAATCTCTCCAGGGAACAATTTGAGCCTTGTTGATTAAACAACATTGTAAATAATAGTGAACAAGCATAATGCTTTCATTATTGTAGAAGAAAGTGAATATGTATTATAGAAATAAATGGATGAACAAAATGGAGTGACCCTGGTGCTATATTTTATTTTTATGATGTGATGGCATTTGATGTTTAGGACAATAAGAAAGAATTATTTCTCTTCAGTAAAAAAAAAAAAAAATTACCTGTGTTTTATGGGGAAATTTTACAAATGCTTTATGGTTTGGATGATTATTTCATTCAATTTTACCTAGTTTCGTTACTTCTTAAAGCACTAGTGTCTGGTTTCCATTATGGCCTGTAGTCATTTCAGAACAACTGTCTTGCTCCTAATGCAATATTAGTGTGGCTTGAATTTACAAAATGCTGTTCATCCTAATGTAAAAGTACATTCTATAATGTTCAATAATTTCAAATGATAGATAGATGTGTCATTCAAGAAATTTACAAGCAGATTTCATTTTTATTTCAAAAGATTAGAGATTTAGTTGAGATGTAGGCTTTTAAAATGAAGCTATTACTGAATTGATTGTAGCGAACTTGCAGATAGACACATATAAGCTATTTGAAGTAAAGAATACTCATTCCTTTCACTATTGTTGTTTCTGTATACATCCTTTGGAATAGAAAGACATTTTTGTGGGTGAGAAAATTTGGTATTTGGGAAATTTATTCTAGATAATAATGAAAGAAAATTAATTATGAGTAGAAATAATATGGTACTGGCAGTTCCTATTTTTACATGTTTTCTTAATCATACTTATTAATATTCTCAAAGTCTAATTTTCAAAAAAGTAAGCATCCAATTGTCATCTATAGCAAAACCTCCATATAATGGACTAATTTGGGGGAGGAAGTGTCCGTTAAAGCCAAAAGCCCATTATATAATAAAGTAGGTTTTCCGAATGCATATGTTAAAAATTGACAAATGAGTTAGTTTACCTGTTTTTACTTAAGTAGACACGTTTGTGTAATTAACATTAAGTATGTATAAAAAGTTAAATTTCACAAAAAAAGTTTTCTATATGTATTACTGTGATTTTAAGTTTATACTGAATAGGTCTATTTCAGTGATGGCGAACCTTTTGAGCTCGGCGTGTCAGCATTTTGAAAAACCCTAACTTAACTCTGGTGCCGTGTCACATATAGAAATTTTTGGATCTTTGCAACCATAGTAAAACAAAGACTTATATTTTTGATATTTATTTTATATATTTAAATGCCATTTAACAAAGAAAAACCAACCAAAAAAAGAGTTCACGTGTCACCTCTGACACGCGTGTCATAGGTTCGCCATCACTGGGCTAGTAGATACATGCATTCACCAGTCACCGCGAGTAAACAAACGCACAGGCTGGCGTGTGGCTCAGTGCACTGCGGCCATCAGCCAACGGGGGTTAAAACTGCTGCAGGAAGTGAGACCAGGCAACAACAGAATCAATGACTGCGTGCAATGCAGTGTGATCACGTGGTGATCGTTCCCTGATTTAAATATGTAGACTACAATCGTAGATATGCAATATTTATTGATGTCAGTGAAATTACTACAGTGGTTTCCCCACATATGTTCTATTCACTAAAATTCGCCTAAAATAACAGTGAATTAATAACAAAAAAAACCAACCTGTTAATTTAATTATAAGCAAATCTTGGTTGCAAGCATTTTAAAATTAACAGGGTGCTAATTTCCACACGTGACATACATTCCAGAAATTTTGTCAGTTCAATCAGGAGTCCGTAAAATTGAGGGTTTACTGTAGTAATCAAATGAGTAATAAAATGAAGATGGGAGCGGGGGGAGATAGTACACAATCTAAGGCTACCTTCCAGGGATATCTTGGTGCAAAATGCTCACACGTTCAAGGGAAAAATGTCACAACACTAGTCAAATCCAAAACAGTAGTGGAATTTGTTAGGCCCCGGCATGATAGTCTTTTGAATCAGCTCAGTGGGAAAGAATTTCAGAGTTCACATCCCATGTTCCTAGACTGTATTTCTTCCTTTTCCTCTTCCTGATGGTGTCCTTGTGTTTGAGTCTGAGCACTCCTCTGGAAAATAATCCCCATGCCAGCTGGAGCTTAAAAACGCAAAGCTCAGAGGCAACTCTCAATTGTTGGAAACGAAATCAATGAGTTCCCACCGAATCCTGAGGAAATGCCACTTCCTTATAAGTCCACACCTCCTTCCTGAGCTCCACTCTGCTTTTCTTCAGAATGAAAGGAGTTTGAAGGTCTCCCCCCTCCCATTGTTTTCATAACTTGTTTTTAAAATCAGGGTAAGCAAATGACATGGCTTTTTGGAGAGTAAGTACCAGCTCTTTTAAAAACTAGCTATGAAGGGTATGAAGGCCAAGGCAGTTTAGGACTCAGGAGGTAGAGGCATTGAAAGCAGTACCAGCTAGACTCCCAAGAAATGCTTGCGTGTAAATCGGCATTTGGAATTCTAAAACCTAGTGGGTTTTTAGTCACTGGGTTTTGTTTTCTTCAGGAGAGAAATACAGTAGAACATTCTATTGGGATGAGTTTGAAGTCAGTTATATATGAGATGTAGGACAAACCTATGGGAAGTGATCAAAATTTGGGTCAGCTTAACATTTCTAGGTCAAATGTGGACTTTTCGTCTTCATCATCTCATCCTTTTCTTTAAAAATCAGAGGACCTAATTTATTAGCTAAGCAAACACTTAGAATCACTGATGTGTGCCAAATGCTTCACACCTTCTGAGAATCAAGTTCTTTCATAGGGAATACAACACCGGGGCACACAATCAATGTTCCTTTTGGGAATTAGCGGTGACCAGTGACCGAATCCACAGTGAGATAATAAGGAAAAGCTACAGCAGGGTGACTAATTGTCATAGCTGTTTGGAGAAGATCAAGGCTCAGCTGACCTCACCATCCTTGCCCGCGCTCAACCTAGAAGGCCGTCCTCTAAGCCAGCATCCCATCAAAGTCCTGGCTTTATCCCCTTTGCTTATTTTGCCTTGTTTGTAATAACTTTTAAAAAAATTCCTTTTGCCATTATTTTTCACACTAAGTTTTGAAACTATTTTTTATTTTAATAGAAAGATTGCTCTCTTACTGGCTTTCTCCGAGTTTTTCAGTGTTAGGTGACATGTGGAGTGACAAAGTTCTTGTAGGTAAAGGGAAGAGGGTGATGTGTTATGGTACCTTGTAAGAAATGGTGAAAATTGATTTGGGAAATCAGATAGGGTCTCTAGAAAACTTTTCAGTCATTCACCAAGCCCTAAAGACATTCAATTGTAAACTTTGGAATAAGGGGGGAAATTGCTGGGAAGATGAACTTTCAGGTTTAAATTAATTTCGTTGTGCAGTTTTATGTCAAAGCACTCTCTATGGAAACCTTGGCAATTGCTTCATCTAGAGCCATTGGATTCAGACCAGCACCTGAATATCACACATGATTTTTGTGTGTTGTGGACAGGTGTCTGATCTTGGATGTTGTGTGTCCTGCTAG